TCAAACCCTAATAGAAATTTGTTTCTAAATGCCTCAGGAACCATACTACGTCGTCAAAGTGCCGAAATATTCATTTTTTTATTTTCTTTATATGTGTGTTCGGACCCACATTTTTTAGGATCAGTTTTTTCGGCGACTATTCGTTCGTGGCAAGTCCGAATAAAAATTTTTTTTTCTATGTCCATCTGGATGTACATACGCATGTGCATGCAAAATTTGATGAGAATTGGTTGAGTGGTGCAAAAGAAAAACGCGGACAAAGAAGCATTTGATAAAGTTATTGAGCGCGAAAAATTTCTTACGTCTTTTTTAAATGGCACAAGTGCGCCAACTAGTGGCAGAAATCGGAACTAACGAAGGGGGTGTCTGAAATGAGTGTAGTTCACCCCGTTCGCCGGAGAGATGGCGCCACTGGTACTATTTTTTAACCGGTCCTAATTAAAATTCATTTTCCGGCCTTATTTTACTGTATTATACCTTAAATTGCATCGGAAATCAATACTAATTATTTCTAGAATGTTCTAAAAGCATTTATATCTCCGAAAAGACAGTGAATGCAAAAATATGGCTACGTATATAGTTCCCTTAGTTTCTAAATCCTGTACTGTGGGAAACGAGTGCGCCAACTAGCGGCAGAAAGCGGAATTAACGAAGGAAGTGCCGCAGATAAGTGTAGTTCACCCGGTTCGCAGGAGAGATGGCGCTAAAAGTACTTTTTTTTGCACCCCTAATTAAAATTCATTTTTTGCCTTATTAGGTTCAAAAACGTAGCTTTAGAACTATATTTTTGAGCTAAAGATTCGTAGCTCTTAGCTCGATAACATTTTCTAAATAACATTTTCTAAATAGATTTAGAAAATGCTATCGATTACCAGGTCACACCACGTGGAGGTGGCTACGATCGTGACCCACCCTAACTCCAAATCCCTTCCCAAATGCAACCTCATTTAGCAGAAGGATAAATGAGTTCTCACTTTATATACAAGTTCTTTACCACAATCCAGTAAAGAACTTGTATCACACACACACACATACATTAACTTAATACAAATCGCATGGGATCCCACACACGCACGCTTAACTTATACTAAACGCCGCATGGTACCTCTCATTATAAGATTACACTCAAATAATCTATGACGAAGTAAAAAAGCGAAGGGGCAAAAAAGAAAGTTAGAAGAACTTTCTACTAAAAG